TCGACCAAGGTCCGTTTGATATGTCGATTAGAATCGACTAAAGGCCAAACCTATCCACCCATTAGGTTGTGGTGTTCAGATGAACTTTATCAACGGTACTCTACATCATCTGAGGGTCGGCAAAAATTTTAAAAGGTAAACGTCCATATCCAAACTATAAATTCCGCTGCGTTAGGATTTATTTCGATAAGTTCAATACTGTGCATGTTGTTTGACGTTCCTCACAGAACCCAACAAAAAGAGGTGTTTGTGAGACCAACCAGAGAATTCGGTCAATCATCATCGGCCTGACGTCAGTGAAGAGCTCATGCGGAGATGGCCCTTTTACAGGCCTGCATCCCCTCGCAGGAGTCTTCCCCGGGCGATCAAACCGCCGATTTTTATTTTATTTTACTAACGCACAGTCCAGCACGGTGGCCCTAGGCCGTATAAATTCCCGGCAGTCAGAGATCCCTAGAGCCACCGTCGCTCGCCGGAACAGATTGTAGGATTTCACACAGCCTAACAACTTCTTCTTCTTCTTCTTCTTCTTCTTCTTCTTCTTCTTCTTCTTCTTCTTCTTCTTCTTCTTCTTCTTCTTCTTCTTCTTCTTCTTCTTTTTTTTTTCTTCAGCCGCCCTGCGGCAGCAGTCTTGGATGTGCGAGCCCCGGTGGCATGACGGTCGAGCACAGGAGATCGAGCGACAAGGTTCAATCCCCAAACTTTGTACGTGTGCAATACGAACAGAAGGAAATTTAATACCAAATAATTTTTTTTCATTTTAGTTTAACTATCACTAAAATAATTTTTATTATAAATGAAACTAAAAAATAATTAGCACATTTTGATTCAAGTATTTAGTTAAAATAATAATTTAAGAATAATTAAACACCTTCTAAATAAATATATTAATAGTTTTTTTTTCCAAACGTTATAATTCATAGAAAAAACAAACACATAATTACAACCGGCTCACTAGCCGAATAAGGGAGGACTACACCCACGAGTAGCCTAGGCCTAACACACAACAAAACCACAAAAACTAAAAAAAAACCCCACTAATGAGGAATACAAACTCCCCACGGGAGAATTCACACTCCTAAAGGCGGAGAAAAAAAACACTGACGCACACCAACAACACAACCAAACACACAAACAAACCAAGCAGACAAACAAAATAAAACTAAAACAAAGAAATAACTACAGCCCTCCCCCACCGGACGGGAAATCCAAACTCCACCACATCCCGGACAAACACCCATCGCAAACTACCGAGAAAAACCACGAGATTCACGGCCAAAACAAAACGGATCCAGAAACTCCCCTAATGGGCTAACTAGACCCGGACCACAAAGCTCGACAGCGCCTCCCAGTACTCCACAGACCCGACCTAGGCCGGACCACTCTGCAGCCCCCTCCACGCGTACACCGGAGCCACCACATAGTCGCTGCCGGAGGACCCCACCTTCCAAACACCATGGAAGACCGGGCAAGGAGAGGACCATGGCTAGACTGCCGCCATCGACCGCCGCAAGGACGCCCATGACGTCCGACGGACACGGCCGCAGAGCTCCACCCGCCTCACCACTCCCGCCATGGCAATCGGACGAAGATTGGAACCACGCGAGGGGATGGAGACGAGAGAGCACCTCAGCCATGTCGCCGGACCCAGAAAGAGCCTGATGGTCGCCGGAATTAGGCAGGGCTTGGGCCGCCGGAGGAGAGGCTCATCCGGCTTGACGAGGCTAGGGCAAGAATAAGAAGGGGAATTGGGGTTTTTTTTCTCTCTCTGTAATTGATATGAACCGTGTTACTGTAAATATATTAATAGTTAAATAATATATTTTGTAATTTATTTGTAAAGGTAGTTTAGTATTTGATTTTTTAATTAATTGTTAAAGAATTCGGACACATGACAATTCAAGGGGTACCTGTTGTTATTAAGATGCGAAGGCACCTAACGTTAGAATAACCCTACAAACTTTTGTAACTTCCTATCATTTTCTATAATGAGTAAATTTGTTATTTTATAATTTCTTTCATCAACTCTCGTATATTTTGAATTATAAAATGTTGAAAGTAAATAGAAGTTGAATTTTATAAAGAAAAATATTAAAAAAAAGCCTAATTCAGCCATTTTTCTATCACAACTGCAAAGTCACCAGTTGTATGTGCGGTGATAATTTTACTATGGTCAATGTCTTTTATACTAAATTTACAAGGAAATATATAAAAACCCTTGTTAAAACAATGTGGAAAAAAAATATTATATCCACTCAAAACGAGGATGAGATATACATGAAATGATATAACACACATATGAGAAAACCATTAAAACTACAAACATGAATACATAGTTAAAAGACAGAAGAAGAAACAACGAAATCCATCAAAGTCAAACAAAAGCCAATTATTTTGTATAAAACATTAGCAAAAGAAAAACCAAAGTGGCGTCAGGAAGTGTCTGCTTTTGCTAAACCACCTAAGGGAAACTTAATGAGACAGAAGTTATTTAGCTGGTGGGTGTTGGCTGGTTGTGGGGCTCTGATGGCTACTTGGGGGCAGAGGGCCCATCATTCATCCTCGCACGAGCCTTTACAAACATCTTTTGCTGCTCGGCAAGTGCTTCCTCCTCCGTCATCTCCGCTACATTGCTCCATTTTCTGCATCTCATTGTGTCCTGTAAAAAAAAATTAAAAAAAAAGGTTCCGCCACAAACATTTAGTAAGGGCCATTATGCATAATCAAAGCTCGTGTAACATGTAAAGAGACTTGATGAAATTCTCTTAGCCTCAGAACCTAAAAGTAAAAAAAAAATAAAAATGTCCAGTTTACCATGGTCTGCACCCTGTGCTGCTCATATGCAGCATATACTTCTTCAATATACTCCGCAAATCCAAGAACCTGATTGATCACGACCGGAAAAAAAAAAAAGTTCCTTTGCATGGGTAAACACGACAGGAAGCCAAGCAAGAAAAGAGAATACTTAGTCAGTACATAGTTGTAATTGACTTAAGGATAGATGAAAAAAATTTTGCCAATACCATCCACAAGGTAGTTAAACAAGTCTTATCCTGGCTCGAATACTTATCAAGTTCAGCAGAGCAAAAAAAGGAGAAATGAATACATGATTAATTGACTGATGGTTTAGAAGATCATTAAGGCAGACAAAAGTAGACAAACCTTTTTTCTTTAAGAAATATTTAATCACCATAAAAGATCTCATCAACTTAACCGTAACAAACCGACACTCGTGTTTTTCCATGAAACCAGAATAAAATACATAATCCATCACTGTTATTAGTGAAATGTCACAAGGTAAATTAACCAGAAACTTTTATACAGTTGGAGTGAAATGTCACTCCAACTGCATGTATTTCTAACATATAAAATGGCTCAAGTCAAATGAATGTTTTTTTGCTATTCGCCTTTTCCTGAATATCGAAACAACAACCTCTATGGTTTGCCAACAGTTGAAGCTATCTCCTCACAGGATTGTTTCAATAAGAAAAATAATTCAGGTTCTTTTAAAATGCCACCTTAATGCAATAATGTACACAAAATTGACACAACACTAACATATTACACTAAACATAAGTAACTTGAGAAGTGTATGGATAACTAGTCCAAGAACGTAGAACGTCAAAGATTTTTTCATATGCTCAAAAACAATGTTTTGAGGGAATTATATAACACGAAGAAAAACAAAAAAAAAATCACCTAAAATAGTTTGTGATCATCACAACACTCGGCTGAGGGTCCAAAATTATTATACAAGTAACCATGTGAACAATTAATAAATGTGTTCAAGAGAATATGAACTGTAACAAAATCTACAACCAAATCCAGAAACATTACACAAACTGCAAGAAGGAAATTATTTATAATGACAGAATTCAACAAAAGCCCATGAAAAAATATAATGAAACTAAATTTCTTGAACGCAGTTTAACAAACGGAAACATAAGAAATTATACAGTAGAGAAAGCAGACCTCTAAGGCCTTGAGGACATGTTCTGGACAATTGTTTTTCTGTCTTCCCTATTACAGACTTCATTGGATTCTGATGAAATCAGATTCTGAAACAAAAAGAGAAAGAAAAAACAATAAGCCAACACGTATTGAACTGGAAATCCCCTCGTTACAAACTTCAAAGATACAACAACAAGTGAAACTGAAACGAAATACCAAAAGAAAAATTTCATCAGATAACTTTACATACTAGAGGAATTCAGGTTAACAACATCAACCATGCACAAGCCACCCATAATAACTTTATCAATGATCAAGAAAAGGCCAAGTTCAAGAAGAAAAAAAAAACAGATAATTAATGCTTCAAATAGGGCACCCTTCCTCTAATAAATATATTGTCTCCCAAATATAAATACCAATCATATATTACATCCTCGACTGGACACATTAGTCTTGGTGCATAATGACTCGCTCATTCTCCTAACAGGTAATAGCTTAGTATAAGCCTTGCATATGAAGCAGATATACTGGTAATTTTACTCTAAGAAAATATCAGTTACAAGTTTTAACTGTAAAACATAGTTTGTAACAATTTGGAAAGACATTTCTATTTTATAGGTTTCACCATAGTTTATGGTTACACGTCATTAATTCCAAGTACTCCAAAAACAGTCCAATTGACTAATGTGCACACCAACATAATAAGATGGAAGAATAGAGTTGTCGTTCTACAACCGGAAATTGTCAAACTTAATCCAATTATAAGAATAGACAATAGTAAATATACAATATGTTACGAAAGGGGTGAAAAAGCCAAAACACATACCTACACAACACTCTCTAAGAAGGTCTTGAGTATCTCTTGCAACACGAACATCTGGAGGGAGCATCTCCTTGATGATTTTAGTCATAGTCGCTGAAAAGAGAACAATTTTAATTTAAATGCTTTGATCCACATTAAGTAATTCAGTTGGTTTGAAAACAAAAATAAGAGGCTAAGAAAGCCTTTCGATACATGATTTAATAGATAGTTCAAGTCCTTATCATTGAATACCTTCAATTAAAGTTAAATTTATGTTTCCCATCGCCAATAAGCAATTGAAGTTATAGTTCAACTCTGTTTTCATCGCACAACTTATCACAAAATGTTAATTAATGATGAAAACCTAAGAAGGCAATAAAGAAACTGTGTGATGACTCTTGAGTTTAGTAATGTCTATTCTAAGTTTCTGACTCAGGTCGCTGAACAAAAGAGGTTGCAAACTTATTGTCCAACAATAATGCTCAGAATATCTACTTGTTTTGGATACAGCTGCTTCGTGAATTCAGATGGCCAAATCCTAAATATTTACAAAACCCATGAGTTAAATGAATGACAAACATACATGAAGATTTCTCCCTTCATAAAAGCAAGTTCATATCTTCACATTTATACATGTGTGCAAAAACTTCATATATTTCTTTCCTACTCTCCTTATCCACAAACTTCCATTATTGATTTGTTGTAGCAAACAGGCCATTCCAATACTGCAGGATATAACATAATAATCAACCACTCAATATACTTGCAGTCATGAAACCTCTTTTTAAATAATAGTCACCATCTCAAGATGATTCAAATCACTTCAATCTATAGTCTATACACATCACTCAATGTCTTAGCTGTTAGAGATATGTTGTAAAAGCTATGTTTTGCAGATTCTATCAATTCCATTTTGATCTGGCCACCATGTTTCAGTCAAAGTACATATATTTGTAGTTTATTTATTTATGCAAATCATGCTCCATGTCTTATATTGAGATAGTGTGGTTCGAAGTGTTTCGAACAGAAAGATCACCTATCGGTTCCTTATAAGACTAAACTATTTGTTCACAGTCTAGACAGGCAGTGAGACCCCTCTTGGAAAAAGACTGTAGTGTATTCTTGATTCAGTTGGTCTTTGTCTGAAGAATTACACTAGCACTTATGTTAAGTGTTGAACATGACCACAGAAGGATAAGGTTATGAGACACACTGATCGTTGTTGTTACCTAGACCTTCAGTGATTGATGCGTTCTCTTAAGCTGTAAGATAATATAAAATAGGCATATATATTTCTCTCTTATTTATTTGATTTACCAAGTGATTCCTATTTTATTAGTAAGTAAGAATAATTATATGATGTGCTACTATAAATTATTTATGGTCTTTATGTTCCAGTGCGCTGGATTGATGACGTCCCCGATATGAGCTCAGGAATGTACATTATGTTAAACCCTGCAGGTAGACGATTGTCTGACATAATGGTTAAGGTTCTGAGTGGTACTAATTTCGGAAATGAATAAGAAGTTGATTAATTATTTTGTCAGTAATTTAATTAATCAACGAACATTATATCTTAAACATAGGGAGGTAAGTCGATCAATCGGATTAATATTATTTAATCATGGAGGCTCTATTTTATTGGTAAAATATTGGCTAAATGGGGAGAGCAATAATATTACCCTAGTGGGATGTTTTATTATTTAATTCCATTAAATAGGAATTAATTTTATTCCATATTAATTAATTTAATTAGGAAAATAATATTCCTACTAGAATCTTCTCTTGGAATTATGAGATTAAGGAGTCTTCTAGAAGATGAAGATTAGTAGTAGATATATTTCCTACATTAGATTATTAATTGGAGTAAGATTAGGTTTCCTAAATTAGGAACTAATTTTATTCTATGATTATTAATTTAATTAGGAAGGGTATTCCTACTAGGATCTTCTCAAGTGTTAGGAGACTAAGGAGTCTTCTAGAAGAGTTAGATTAGTAGGAGATCTCCTTAGTACATTGAATTAGTATTGGAGTAGAATTAGGATTCCTAGGCCTAATGGGATAAGCCCATATTTAGCACCTCCTTAAGGTCCATAATGGAGCTTATAAATACATCATGTCCCAACCTCTTGAATGTGTGTGTGTTGGCCGATTTTTCTCCTACATACACGCAAGAAATAACATCGTTTGAGAATTAGGGAGATTCAATTAAACGCTCCACCAAGTTTAATCGAAGTAGGTGTTTAGGTAATCCGTTAGAAGGCTTTTTGGTACAATATTCTTGAGCCTTTTAATTATATATTTTCCGGCCACTTTCCTCCTC